ACATTATAGCTAATCTTACCCGTTTTCACAGAATGCAAGAATTAGGTCCCCCGTTTCCAGACTAATTAGAGAATTTTTACGTCCAGTCAAACGAACTATTTTCAATTTGATCAATTTTCTGGAACGTTTACAATCGTTCTATAATCGAACCAATTCGAATTTAAATTCGAATACGAATTCGAACTCGAAAATTTTTAAAATCGAAATAGAAAATCTTCCACTTTCAACCACTTCCAAGCCCATATCTCCCGCACCTTTATAGCAACCACCATAGTGCACGAATGGAGACTTGGGGCTACTACCACATACAAACACCATTCATGTGCGATGTGTAGTTTTGACTGAAAAGTGAAATATAGGGACACACACGTCCATTTTTATATATAGATATATATATAGATTATCAATCTATATATATATATATAGATCCATCTCGATTATATATATATATACAGTATAGATGACAATTATTTCATAAAAATAAGAAAAACAAAGTGGAATAATATTGTTCCTTTTGTTTTTAAAACTGCAGCAGAATGTAACATACCTGAACAAAAAGAAAAATATGAAGATTTCTTATTTATAATTCACAGATAAATAAAAATTATTCGTATCTCTGGAAGATTATGTAAATATTTAAAGAGAATATAAAACAGAACCTTTCGTATTTAAGAGTTCTTAAATTTTAAATTTAAATGCACGAGATCGAATCATTTAAGAATTTACATTTCCAAAATTAATCGTTTTAATTTTAAATTTATTTTAATGTTTTTTTTTATTTTTTTAAAAAAAGTTAAAATCAATTTATGATTAAAAAACATAAGGAAAACAAATTAAAATATTGAAATATTTAAACTGTAGATCTAGTTCTTAGACAAATCAGAAGGGAAAGAATACGATGCATCGGGATTATTGTTTTTGAAGCTTGAAATCGAGTGCAGAGAGTCTTCACTTATGCTTCAGAATTTAATGGCANAATAAATTTTTTCCAGTAAATCTGTATTTAATACATTATATTTGTTTTCTAGTTTCAATCGAATAGATTTACCCCCGTATGAAGTGTACGAAGAGTTGAGAGAGAAACTGATTAAGGCCATCGAAGGTTCGGAATCATTTGGAGGCGTGGATTAAAATTTCAGCTTGTGCCATTATCTTTAATATGAAATGTTTGTATTCACCTAGTTATTATTAGTATAATTTTATAGCAATTCTTGCTAATAAAAAAAAAAACAAAAAAATTCATAATGGCAGTGTAATAAGATTCGGAATGATTTCAATCTATTAAGGTTCTCGCTAACTTGAATATATTATTGTAGCATGCGAAGCTGGTGTTGTACAAAGTACAAAACAGCAGAGATCTGCTTAATTAAAGAGAGATAATCGAGAGGCTTTGATCGTAATTCACGTAACGTAAGGTATCGACCACACGTTCCAAGAAATAATTCTTGCTACACCTCAATTTTCCTGCCTTACTTTTTACTGTTTTTACCTATCTCCTGATCAGTGATATAATCATGAATAATTGATTCTTTCCTTAGAAAGGTTTCTATTTACTAAAGCGTTGCACTGCAGCTAAATAATTAATTGTATATAAATAACTAAAAAAAAAAAAAGGAGTGAAATTTAGTGCATTAAAGTTTGTGTCCAATATTTCCTATTAAAAAAAAGAAAAAAAAAAAAACAATATTAATCTTAAATTATCTACTCAAAGATGTACAGTTTATCATAGGTTTTTAATTTACATGAATATGTTTGTATATATAGAAACTTTTCAAGTTTTCTCAACCTGATTAGATATTTTATACGGTTTATGAAAGTCTCTTCTCTTCCCAAAAGAAATCAGCTTAAGTTTAAAAGAAGTTGATTAAACTGGGAATTTCCAAAAGAAAAAAAAAACAAAATATATATGTAAATAATTATTCTTCATATTGTACCTGTGCCGTAAGTCTGGTATGAGTTTTGCTGTTAGTTATTATTTTTATAGCTTTGAAAATATCTGTTGTTTAGGAGTTGTCTCGTTGGAGGAAACCTTAAATAAGTAGTTAATAACTGGAACATTCCATTCAGAAGCCATGCTTTTTGTTTACTAAAAGATGTTCTTCATTTGAATGTTGAATGTAAAATATTATTAAAAGATTCTTTCTTTTATTATTATTATTATTATTTTTTTTTTTTTGATAAATTTGTTTTGTTGCTGGATCCATGAGAGAAAAAAAAAAACACAAACTAATATTTACCCCAATGTATTTTGAATGTGAATTATTTAATTGATTGTGATGTTTTATCAAAAACAAAATGTGATTTTATTGTTTATCATCAATAAAGAAAGCTATATGACTTTTGAAAACAATTTTTGTATTATTTATATAATAAATTTTTCACAGAAATGGCTTAAATTTTAAGGAATTTTTATGAGAAATTGATGGATTTGAGGAAGCATTATACAAATAGAAATAAAAAAACTACATGTTATTATATAATACAAAAAGTAAATATGATTACTTTTCTTCCTGTTTCACCATGTTCCTTTCTAATGAATACTTTAATATTTTCATGAAGTACATTTTATCATAATGGGTGGTCGAAGATGATTAGAACTCACAAGAAGGGCAATAAATAGGGTGAAGTCAGTCAAATTTGGCGACACCGCGAGCCGGGGACGTTACCAAATTCTTTTGTGTTTAACCACCCAGTTTGATTGTACTTTATTTTATAATAATTAAGCGTGGCACTAAAGGCCTGTTCGTACTTCGTGTGAGTGGAAAAAAGACTTCAATTTCAATTGATTTACTTAAATTTGCCATTTTATGACTCGCAATGGCATCGTTAGTGGACCGAGTTTTCATTCAGTTGTATTGAATCTTTTTCAATATATGTACAGTACCATAACATATCTGTGAATATAATATATTGCAACTTATTTTAAATTAATATATCTGTATAAAATAATATAAAAAATTATTTAAATTGGAATACAAACGTAATAATTTTAGCAATAAAATAATGAATGAATAGAATAATATATAAAGATTTTATTCGTAATAAGGATAAACAATTTTATTAATTCTTTTAAAATTCATAAAAATTAGGGCGAAGTTTTGTATAATTTTTATTAAACGGCCGAGAAAAGAATCCATTTCTTGGTTTTGATAATTTCACACGCAAAATAACTGCAAGAAGAAGGAATTCGAAATAAAATTTGCCTCCTTTTAGCATCTTTGATTAACTCGTCCCAAAAATGGTACTCGCTCATAATACTAAAATATCCGCATAAAATCAACGAAGATTTAGCTCGTGTCAGTAATGTATTTAGTATTTTATAATTCGCTTCATCGTTCGGAGCTGAATACAAAACGATAGCGACATCAAATATTGGACAGTCGAGTAAACCTTCACAAGAATACNCAAATAGAAATAAAAAAACTACATGTTATTATATAATACAAAAAGTAAATATGATTACTTTTCTTCCTGTTTCACCATGTTCCTTTCTAATGAATACTTTAATATTTTCATGAAGTACATTTTATCATAATGGGTGGTCGAAGATGATTAGAACTCACAAGAAGGGCAATAAATAGGGTGAAGTCAGTCAAATTTGGCGACACCGCGAGCCGGGGACGTTACCAAATTCTTTTGTGTTTAACCACCCAGTTTGATTGTACTTTATTTTATAATAATTAAGCGTGGCACTAAAGGCCTGTTCGTACTTCGTGTGAGTGGAAAAAAGACTTCAATTTCAATTGATATACTTAAATTTGCCATTTTATGACTCGCAATGGCATCGTTAGTGGACCGAGTTTTCATTCAGTTGTATTGAATCTTTTTCAATATATGTACAGTACCATAACATATCTGTGAATATAATATATTGCAACTTATTTTAAATTAATATATCTGTATAAAATAATATAAAAAATTATTTAAATTGGAATACAAACGTAATAATTTTAGCAATAAAATAATGAATGAATAGAATAATATATAAAGATTTTATTCGTAATAAGGATAAACAATTTTATTAATTCTTTTAAAATTCATAAAAATTAGGGCGAAGTTTTGTATAATTTTTATTAAACGGCCGAGAAAAGAATCCATTTCTTGGTTTTGATAATTTCACACGCAAAATAACTGCAAGAAGAAGGAATTCGAAATAAAATTTGCCTCCTTTTAGCATCTTTGATTAACTCGTCCCAAAAATGGTACTCGCTCATAATACTAAAATATCCGCATAAAATCAACGAAGATTTAGCTCGTGTCAGTAATGTATTTAGTATTTTATAATTCGCTTCATCGTTAGGAGCAGAATACAAAACGATAGCGACATCAAATATTGGACAGTCGCGTAAACCTTCACAAGAATACAATGAAATGACGTGACTATATTTACCATTATCCATTAAGATATCTCTTATTGTATCTCTCTGATATCTATAGTTGGTAAACACGCCTACAGTTTTGTCTTCGGGAATTATGTTTGAAAGGCCATCCCATAATTCGGCAATAAATTTCATCTCCGGGGTCGAACTATCTTGGCTTTTCACGTCGATCAGATCCAAGACACAATAAGGAAGAATTGAAAGTTCGTTCGAAACATTGGCAGATTTCAAATTATTACAGTAAAAATAGGAAGAAGGAAAACGAATTATATCGGGATGAATTAGATATTGCAACCATAACATTAACACCGGACTTTTGTCGGTCGATCTTTCGAAATAATTGAAAAATCTTTCGAATAACGACACGTGAAAACCGTATTCGTAGGCGGTTTTGGACAATAACGGAGCCGAAAATCTTCGTGGATCTCCTACCAGCAGTAACTTTTCTATACCAAATTGTAATGGAATTAAATTCTGTAGTTCGGTGAGTTGTGTCGAATCGTACACAATACAACAAGTAAATTCCTTTCTGAAATTCATTAATTCGGAATTTAAATTATCGATTGTTGCCAATATTACGTTTGCATTAATTATAATTTCATTTTTAAGATTTTCTACTAAACCCGAATAATTAAAATTAACAATAGTAGGAGACATTTTCTTTAAATTTCTTTCGATTGTTTCTTCCAAATAAAATGGTTTTGAATTTTTCTGGTGTTTACCAATACAAACAAAACGTATATTTTCGTTATTCAAATCGTATAACTTCTGTCCTATTTCTTCGATACTTCTTTCCGATAGACACATTACTAAAATTTTCGATTTATCATCGTGCTGCAATAAAATCTGCTGTATAATACCGGTAACAGTATGACACTTTCCCGTACCCGGTGGTGTCTGAAGCATGAGAATGCAACGGTTATTCGAATCAACTAACGTGTGTGATATATTTATAACAGCATTCCCTTGACAGGAGGTATATCGATTGAGTGCCACCAGTGGATTTTCTGTGGCGGATTGTATTTTGCAACATTCAAAATCTGGTTTGATTATCTGCTTGAGGAACGACGATTGTTTTAACCACACTAATGCTTCGCACTGCTGTATAAAGTGGGTTATGTTACAAACAAAAGATATTCTGATACCAACTCCCGGTGTTAAAACCAGATCGTATTGTTTAAGGATTTTAATTAAATATTCGTTATTGTAGTTATTCTCGATGTTATTGTACCGAAAACGTTCGGTAACAATACCAAATTTATAGGTATTTTCCATATTATCCGAAACCGAAACCACTCGAAAGA